TACACCACTTTTTGTTTTACTTTATTTATCCGTCCTGTAGCCAGTGGGTTGCTGGTTCGAACCCCTGTTCCCTCTGTTTCGTTCATCATGTCCTTGGAAACTTTACCCTCCTTGCCTCTTTGTCTTAATAGAAATATTCTTATTAATCACTTGACCAGCAGGAGGCACTAATAAGAATGTAGTATAGTTATTTAAAAATGTACACACATGGTATATGTAGAAGATTAACAGACCTTTATCTATATACACAGCAGAAATGGTAGGAATTATTATTAGTTTACAGTGGGTGGAGGAGGTCAGACCAGACAGGGTGGTGATTTGCACAGATTCTAAAGCTGCAATAGAAAGCAATCATTCAGGAGGAAATAATAGGAAAGACCTTGTATTAGATATTCCTCAGAGTTTGTTTAGGTTATTTAGGTATAGAATAGATGTTCAGTTCTGTTGGGTTCCAGCACATGAATAAGTGAGAGGAAATGAAATAGCAGACAAGAAAGCTAAAGAGGCTTTATGAAAGCAGAATATAGATCAGATTCCATTTGGGAAAGGGGAAGGTAAATCAATAATTAGAAAGAAAGAAACAGAATTATAGCAAACAATATGGGATGAAGATGAGAAAGGAAGAAGATTATATAGGGTTCAAAAATCTGTAATTGTTAAAAATTATGGAGAAAGAAGCAGCAGGGAAGATATAATTTATACTAGATTAAGAACTGGACATACCTACTAGAATGAGTTTTTGTTTGTACTAGGGAAGAGAAATAATGATTTATGTGAGGGCTGTGAAAGAAAAGAAAATGTAGATCATGTTTTGATGGATTGCATTAAATATGCATCTGAAAGAGAGAGGATGAGGAAAGTAATTATGGAAAAAAGGGAGAGAATGGAGTATTAAAGGAATTTTAGGGACAGATGGAGATATTGAGGAAAATAAACTATTGTTTTTAGTTTTACATAACACAAAAATAAAAAATATATAATATAGTAGATGGAACAATAGAGCTACACACTAATGTACAGTAGGTGGCGGTATGCAGCTATAAGTTGTTTACAATCCGCCAATCTAACAAAGAAGAAGAATGAGCGCTCCTTCCGTAAAGCGTCACTTTCTGACGTAACATCATGGCGGCTGTAGAGCCAACACGAGCATGTGTTACCTTACGCTAATATAGAGTATTTTATCTCAGCGGTCAGCCTGTCCATTCAGTGTCGTTTTCTCGTTTTTAAATAGTTTGAAAATGGCCGACCTGTCGTCTTTAGGTCTGTCAGACTGGTTGGTGAGGCAATGTAAACAGCTGGGAATCAACAAACCCACTCCTGTTCAGGAAAACTGCGTCCCAGCCATCCTGGAAGGTAACTGCTATTCGCCTTAACTGGAGGAACTGTAGCTGGATTTTATTTGTTTATAATTTTAAGAACAATTAGAAAGTGAAGCGAAACGTGGCAAAAACACAGTTTTCTAATTTTCTCACGTTAACATTAGACCTGTTTTTGTTGTTACATTTTAAATGGATCCAGGTTTGTCTTTAATGGATCAAATGTGTCCACTAATGTAAATTTTAATTCTTCATGGATTGATTAGATTTAGGTGTTTTTTGGATTAGTCCACTTGCCGTAGCTCGGGATGTACTAATGTCTTGCCTTTAAACATGCTGGAATTTGAACCTCTTGAACTTTATTTAATTTAGAAATAATCATATAAAGGAAGCTAAAAAAAGCACGCCAGACTTTAAAGTTTTTATTGGTTAAAAGGTTAAAAACTTTGTTCAATTTCCCTTCTACTTCGCAACTGTGCATCCAAGTAAAAAGGCAAAGTGTGTTAACCCTAAATGGGGAAAAAAAAGATCAAATGGCTGAAAAGTTTGTTTTCTTTATCAGTGGCCATCTATTTCTTGATTTTTCTCTGACATGATTGATGTTTTGTCTCCCCCCCCGTTTATTTATTGTTAGATAAGCATAAAGAAAAACCTCTGCACATTTTAGCAAATGTTCCTGCATCTTTAGTACTGGGTCTAAGAGCAGATGGTGTGTTTCTTCCCTCAGGACGTGACTGTATGGGCTGCGCCAAGACTGGAAGTGGAAAGACGGCGGCGTTTGTGTTGCCCGTGCTGCAGAAACTATCAGAGGAGCCCTATGGCATCTTCTGTCTGGTGCTCACTCCTACCAGGTCAGACACATAGCACTTGGAAAGGTCAAAGGGTTTTGTTGATGGACACAAATGTTTTCAAAATGGAAGCTAAAACTATGTAGACATAAAATAAAAAAAAACCTTCAAATATATTTACTATTTAGTTTAGGGATTTTTTTTTTCTCCAAACAACTTATTGGTCTCCCTTAGCTCAGAGTGACATCGGTTCAGCTCTTATTAAAAGTGTTGAAACGTTTAATGTTATGTTTTAATTGTTTTTTGGTTTTTTTTGTGAAACATGATTATTTTACCAATATGTTTATATAACATGCTTTCATATAAAAGTCACCTCCCAAAGGGGATGTTTAAAATCAAGTATGTCTTTTTTTTTAATTTTTTATCATGAAACTTAAATGAGAAAAAAAAATTTAATATAGTAGGAAAGAAGAAAAAAAATTAATTTTTAAACAGAGTTAAAAGTATTACGGTAGTTTTCAATAGAAGATAGGTGCATAAACCACACAATAAATAAAAACATGATGGTTCTGGATGCCACAGATTAACAAAGCTTTGCTGCATTTTGGGAACCCTTTGTTTAGGATTTTCCAATCCCAAGGCTTGTGATATAAAAGAGTCCAGACTTGATAAACAGAGAGATTAGATTTCAAAAACTGAATCTACCGTATCTTCTTTTGTTTGCCTCACTATAAATAAAGTATTGTTTTACTTCTGGTGCCTTTTTGGTCAAGGGAGTTGTAAAGTTGGTCCTTCACAACCAGGCTCCTTTTAAGTTGATCTAAATCTTTTTATGGACTCCAGATTGAATTTATGACATCAGTATGACCCGTTTAAAATGATAATCTCTGCTGACAATTAACCCTAATAGTTTAGACACAAACTGACTTTCTATTTGCACCATATGTCTCGATAGAAAATGCATTTACTTGAAAACTAGTTAAGAACATTACTAGCAGTTGTTTGTGTCCCCTAGACATTATGCTGCTTTTTGTAACGTTTTTGTTTCGTGATAGTTTAAATGATCTGCTCATGTCATGTTCCTCCCTCTGTTTTAATGTTCTTCCCTTGTTTGTTTATTATTGATTCCATCTGCTTTTTAAATCTGCTACAGTTTTAATTTTAGATATTTTTAAATTGAGATTTTATCACCAGAACCTCCAAATTGAAATGTGATTTGTTTGTTTCAAAGTAAAAGGAGTAAAGTTTTCATGTATTCTCTGAATTCTTTTTTTTTTTTTTATCTGGTCATGTGATGTCTTGCAGGGAGCTGGCCTATCAGATTGCAGAGCAGTTCAGAGTTCTGGGGAAGCCTCTGGGTTTGAAAGAGTGCATCATCGTTGGAGGAATGGGTAATTAAATGAGCAGCATCACTGATAGACTGTAGGATGTATGCCTTACATCTTGTGTTTGTTTGATGTTTCAGACAGAGCAGGTTTCACACATTAAAACATATTGATAAAAAAACATAATTAGCAAAATACTTTCAGTTTTTTAGATGTTTTAAGCTTTATCCCTTATTTGGAGCCAACTTTACTCCTGTTTAAACCATGGTTCCTTGCAGCTTTAACCCTGACTGACTTGTTTCCTCTGTGTTATGATGTGGACAGACATGGTGAGCCAGGCCCTGGAGCTAACCAATCAGCCTCATGTTGTCGTAGCAACACCGGGTCGGCTGGCCGATCACATCCGCAGCTCCAACACTTTCAGCATGAGCAAGATCAAGTTCTTGGTGAGATTTTGTTCAGCTTTATAGAATTTGATTACATTTTTTTAAATTAATTTGCGTGGATATTTTACAAAATGAATTTAAAAAAAAAGTTCTTTATCAGCCTAAATCAGAAGCACTTTACTCCATTTTCAGTTTTTGACCACCCTCCTGTGTCTTCTTTGTGGTTTATTGCCTTTTTTTTTTTTTTTTTTTTTTCAAAGATTCTTGATGAGGCGGACCGGCTGCTGGAGCAGGGTTGTACTGACTTCACCAAAGACCTGGAGGTGATCCTGGGCGTCTTACCAGCCAAACGTCAGACGCTGCTGTTCAGCGCCACGCTGACAGACACCCTGCAGGAGCTTAAGAGCATCGCCATGAACAAACCTTTCTTCTGGGAGAGCACATCAGAGTGAGTAAACCTGATAGTTTCCATCTCTACAGATTTGTCTTCGTCTTTAAATTGGATATTTGGATTTCAACAACATTCTCAGCCTAAATCGTTTTACTTGTTAAAATAAAACAGGTCTGGGAGGAGTATAAAAGTTGTTTTTTTTTTTTATTTACATTGCGGCTAAATTGCTTGCAAAATAAAGCAAATTAAATCACAGCATAACTGTGAGGTGGAAGAAAGGAAGCTTGGGTTTTCTCATGTTTTTTTTTTTTTTAACAATAAAATATTAGAGTATGGTTTTAGGTGCTAGAACTTACCTAAACATTTCAGTTTGCACTTTCCATTTTGTCTAGACTTTGCCTGGGCTGCACTAACATGCATGAATATTATGCTTTTATCTAAAATATTCCATTATAGGTTTGACTTTTTGCTGCTTTTGTTATACTGGAGGTTGAACCTTCATCCCTACCTTCTGCCTTTTGCAGCCTGCCATGAAAACCCCATTTTCCTAAAAAAACAAAAAAAAAACAAAAAACAATTTAAAGATTCAAGATGGTTACAAATCTGAGTATGAGAAATGTAGTTATACAGAGAGTTGACTTAGAAAACCTGCATTCAAACTTTTAATTTAGAAAAAATAAATCCTTTTATTCTCATTACACTCTTTGGTTATGCATCAGTTTTTATTTAGTTTTTATGTTAAGCTATCCTGTTGGATACTTTATCTGTAGTTACAAAAGTTTGAACACTTTAGATGCTTTGACTATGTATGAATACATTTCAAGTCTAACATGCAAAAAAAAAACCTTCCTCTTGGTGAACTCAGCAGCTTGTCCAGTGACTGGTATTAAAGATTTTTTTGCTATTATTGTTAGAACGAGGACAGTGGAGGAGCTGGACCAGAGATACATCCTCACTCCAGAGAAGGTGAAGGACGCTTACTTGGTCCATCTGATCCAGACATTTACGGACCAGCATGACGACTGGTCCATCATCATCTTCACCAACACGTGCAAGTGAGAAGCCTAGAAACATACTAAGATACTCAGTGATCCATTAAACAAGTGCAACTTTGGTTTCTTTTAAGCACTTTACAGTCTGGATCATTGTAATGGAGCTTCATATAACAAAGGAGCTTCTTTTGATTTCAGGAGCTGCCAGATTCTGACTATGATGCTGCGGGCTTTTAACTTTCCTACAATCTCTCTGCACTCAATGATGAAACAGGTAGGATCAATCAGAACAGCCCAGTGGGTTGGAGACATCAATCTTTTGATTGTGACATCTTAGCAATACAAACCTCTATTTGAATCTTCAAACGGAAAAAACCTAATTCGGGGAAGACCCGAGCGCCTTTAAAACAGATGCCTCTCCTTTCCATTCTTTAGAAACAACGGTTCGCCAATCTTGCCAAGTTCAAGGCCAGCGTCTATAGGATCCTGATTGCGACGGATGTAGCTTCCAGGTAGATAATTCTAGAAGACTCCACACCTTTCAGGATTCAGTAGGGGGTTTGTTCTAATTCCTCTTCTTCTCTCCTTCCTCTGGTTTTCAGGGGGTTGGATATTCCAACTGTGCAGGTCGTCATTAACCATAACACCCCAGGGCTTCCAAAGATCTACATCCATAGAGTGGGGAGAACCGCAAGAGCAGGTACAGGGAGGAATCTGCAGCCTGTTGGGGGAATTTACAGAAAGCGAAATCATCTCTGAAATAATCACACATTGGTTCTTCATATTGGATGAATAAATGTTATTTTGAAGAACATTTAAACTTGTTATGCAGGGAGAAACGGAGTGTCCATCACACTGGTGACGCAGTACGACATCCATCTGGTCCATTCGATCGAGGAACAGACAAGTAAGTTACATCAGAAGCTGCTTATGCTGGAAAGACTGATTGGCCATGATGTGATGTTGGATAGCAGATGAGATGAATTCCTTCATTCATATTGCATTATTGAATAGTGTTGCAGTTGTTTCCCTGATCTCAATGAGTTGCAGTAATCTGAATGGGTCATTAGTTCAGCCGTGGTCTGCTTGATCTCATCCTTCAACTATTTGTTTGGATTTGATGGATTTTTGTTGTCATTTAAATTTACAAAACTGTTCATGAACCTATTTTATTATTTTTCTTTTAGAAACTAAGTTGAAGGAATATCCTATGGAGGAGAAGGAAGTCCTAAAGATCCTGACTCAAGTCAACGTGACTCGACGCGAGTGTGAAATTGTATGAACTTTCCTTAAAATATTTATATTTTGTCGCTTTATAATTTAAAAAGGTTGGAATGTCAAAAAAAAAAAAAAACTATGTCCAAAAGAAAGCATTCTTCAGTTGTTGATGGCTACTTCATAGTAAAAAATATAAACAAACTGAAGTTTTATTTTTACTTTAATTTGTTCTTCAGAGACTTGAATCGACAGACTTTGATGAGAAAAAGGAGATTAACAAGAGGAAACAGCTGATCTTGGAGGGGAAGGTGAGAGTATAGTTCTTTTTTACTGCTATGGATTAGCAGTCGCCTCTCAATAAATTGGACTACAAATGGGTTTTATTTATATAAATTCATTTCACTCATTTAAGGTTTTTTTTGTGTTTTAAAGTTGATAAACTCTGAAAGTCAAACATCTAAAACCAATGATATGTGGTCGTATTTACCACAGAAATGTTGGCCTAGATAAACATGTTTTGCTGTACTTTAGCTTTTATTCACTCGGTACTACTATCAGTAGATGTAATGTAGAATGTTGTTTAATGTCTTTTCTCTTAATCTAAACCAAAATAGTATTTGACACCAGTTCCTGCTGCTGATTTCACATCTTTGTGTCGTTTCAGGACCCAGACCTGGAAGCCAAGAGGAAGGCAGAGCTGGAAAAGATCAGGAGCCAAAAGAAGAAATTTAAACAGAAAATCCAAGACAGCATTCAGAGACAAAAACATGGACAGATGAAGAAGAACCGGCCTAAAAGCAAAAAGGCAGAGTCGGCAGCATCATAAAAGCTGCCTGATGTACATAAGTTTTATTTCTGTAAAATATCTGCAAATAAACTTGATATCGCTGAAGCTCAAATTGACCACCTTTATTGATTCAGTTTAACAAGGGAAACCACCGTCTCATGATGGAACAGCACTGCAAAGAATATTCACTGCTTCAAATGTTATTTACATCACGTTAAATCCATAAATTTAATTTCTGAGTATTCAGACTGGGTGCAGATGTTTGAACAAATCTACTGAATCACCTCTAAAATAATCAACCGACCTCCTCACAGCAGATGGAAATATTAAATATTAGGGCAGAGTTTCTTTTAAAGCTATCAATATGGTAGACCTTGGGTGGAGCAGGTTAAAATAACTTATAGCACAAATAAGAACAGGATGTCAACAGAAAACATCTACCTGGAGCAGGATTGTCACGTGTGTGCAGACATGAGAAGCAGGTGAGGACTACATTCTTACCATGTTCAGAAAGTGTTGCTTAAATAAAAACTACAATCCCTCGGATAGTTTGAGGATACAGAAGTCCAGGTGAGGAAAGGAGACGGCCTTAGCCTCAGTTCCGCAGTCAGCATGTTGCTACTAAAGACTTTTTTTTTTCCTTACTCAAGACCAAAAAAATTAAACATCGAACTGATCCTGATGCACACAGCAGCAACCAATTTAACAAAAGCATAAGGTTACAGGTTCACACTGATCTTCAGGAAGCTAAAACATAAATCTAAATAAAATGCATAAAGCAAGCACAAAAGCGTTGCACAAATCTTAACCCACTAAAGGTAAAATAACTTCTACCAGCCTGTAATTTTACTCCAGAGAAGGAAGGTGGCTTTTAGTGACAACCAACATTAACGCGGCTGATTTATCGTCACCAGCTCTGATTTACCAACACGAAAGCTCTCAGAGTTACATGCTCCAACAGGTTGTAGTATGCTGGTAGTTTGACTCTTTACTACATTCATGTGTGCTGCAGCTGTTTAATGTAAAGGTTGAATGGTTTCAGGCACTGATTTTACTTCATCTTTTATATCTTATTTGCCATCATCTGATCAGTGCTGATGGCTGATTCCTGCTGCTTTGCGTATCCAGATGTAGACCAATGATCCTTCAGGGCGTTTATAGGTTATAAGGTTACTCATACCCAATTACAACTACAAGGTTGTTTGGTGTGGCTGTTCATGTTAAAAAAAAAAAAAAAAGGAGGGAGGGAGGGGGGGATAAACAAATACAGCACTCTGTTTCTTGGATCTTTAGTCCAAATAAACAAAACACATTGTCTTTAAAAAAAGAAATTTCCAACTCTGGCAATGAACTGACCTCTATTCATTTTCTCCTTCAGCCACCTTCCTTTTCTACCTCTCCGTGGATTGATTGCCACGACAGCCAGTGGGCCTTTTCTATGGTTGCTCATTCCTCTCCCAACTCAAGCAGGGATTAGTTTGATGGGTGTGGAAAAAACCCCTACTATCCCCTGAGAAATCCCTCAGCTCAAAGCATTTTACCATCTAAGCATACAGAGTATAGTTAAAAAGAAAAGGAAAGACATCTGGTCATGAAGCACAGCAAAACGTCAACAACCCCTGCTGTCTTGAGATTACCATAGGAAAAAAGCCTTAGCTGAAACATCAAATGACACCGAGCCAAATATTCATTGCTGGTCATGTTTGATAGTTTCAACTTCTTTTTTTTTTTTTTTTTGCAATTTTGTGCTCTGTGGTAAGAAAGGTATCAGAGAAGAAGAACTGTCCCGTGATGATCAGGACATCGGCGGGATTTACATCTCATGCCTGGAAAAAACCTGTCTGAAACCTGTGTGCCATGTCCACCGCTGACACACGGTCAACCTCGTTGAAGACCTTGTGAAAGAGCCAGTGGTTCTCAAGGCAAATGAAGGTATTTCAACATCAGACTTGAGCACAGAAACCAGTGTTCCTACGTCCTCTCTCAGAGGGTGGGTCGCCTGCTGCTTCCTTTAGAGGCTGCCGAGGTTTTGGGCCCAGTGGATGAACCGAATTTCTGAATTCTCTGGGACATTAAGGCAAGTTGACAGACAACCGACCTCCAGCATGGGGACTTTTTTTCTCCTTTTGTTTTATGCTGCTGGTTTTAAAGCCTTCGCACACCATTTCTGTCCAAATTGAGAGTTCTTCAAAATTCCACTGATTGGCTTTAATCCTGGAGCTTTCCCAGAAGTTGCAAGTGTAAAAGGTGGATTTTAAGTTGGGGAGCTGAACCTCTTTTGGATTCTCAGGAGAGACCGTAGATCTCTCGTCTGTTTCCCTCAGCAGCCCGACCAGATGCCGCCAGATCCTCGACTTTCCTCCTTCACTCAGCACGGGCATCGGTTCCTGCCTCTCGCTTGTTTACGCGGCCTCTTTCCATCTCGCTGCCCGTCTGTTAGTGCTCTCTTCTTTTACCCTCCCATTTCTCTTGCTGGTCATCGGTTTGGTTTCGCTATCCCGTCGCTTTCACTTGGAGGTGCTTCGGATGTAGCAGAGGAAAACAGGTATCCATTTTATGTTTGTATTATTTCCCAGATTAAAAAGCTGATGAACTAAGCTCAGCTCAAGCCTAGCTCCCCTCTTCAGGCAACCTGGAAGACACCAAGCAGGTTAAGAAATTAACATTTTTATAGCACTTTAAAACAACTCTTCTACTTTCAAATTTAAGGTGGGAAAGAAAATGGAGAAAGATAAACTTAAAGAATCCCTGAGTAGATCAGTTTGTGTAATTCTTGAATTGCACTAGTTAAAAACAAAATAATTCTTAATGGGACAGATGTTGTGAATGAAACGGTGCCCAGCTTAAAAGAGATCCTGTGTGTCGCTGTATGTGTGCATTGATGACTGAAAGACATCTTCTGCCTCCATTTATCCGTTTACTACAGTGTGTTGAATTCATGTTAATGTGTATTTAAAGACATTCAAATTAGTGGAAAAAGTTGCAGGGGGGAATATAAAAAAAGTCTAATCAACCAAAACTTTCACAACCCCATGCAGTACCTCTGCGGATCCCCTAGGGGTCGCAGACCCCGAGTTGAAGACCTCCGCACTAGGCCAACACTCCCCTTGCTGGCTTATACTTTTACTAGGATTAAGGATTAAATAAACACACAATAATAAATGACTATATACAGAAGAGCTGTATATACTTACACTTTAGTACTGTGACAGTCCAGTCACCCCGCCATGCTGGTATGCACGTTCACCCTGGTAAGTTGAGTCCTGGGATAAAGCCACGTCAATCTGGGACTTAAACTCATCGCCCAGGTAGCTATCCTGGAAAACATGACAACAGCTCTCATCAGAAACAGTCAATTCTTATGAGGCCTAATTAGCTAAAAATCACTGACTTTTTATTCATAAATATTAAAACAAAATGTAATGTCATTCTGCCTTTGTTTACTGCTGACATAGTATCCAGATAATGCAGTTATTCTAGGTGCTAGAACATAACTTTGTAAATACATTTCCATTTCAACAAAGCTTTGCTTAGAAGGTACTAAAATAATCAGCTAACACTTACTGCATTTCAAGAAGCTCTTAGTGGTATTAATGATACATTTTCCATACATTTTGCAGCCCTAACTAATGGTTTACATATTTTTGTCATATTTTCATTACATTTTTGAAAAATTAAGTTGAAGAGAAATATAATCCAAAAACACACACAAAAAAACAAAGAAATGGAAAAAACTAAAGCTGAGATATTTAGGAGAACATAAACATTATTTAACAGCAATATTTGACTAATCTCTGTATGGGACTGTGTGTTACCTGGGACAACTCTGGCTGGGAGAGGCCAGGTTGGCTCATCTGAGAGGGCTGACTCATAGAGATGTAACCCTGAGTCAGCGGCCCCTGGGAGAAGGACTGGGAGGCCCCGTCCTGGCTGGCCTGGCTGTTTGGTCCGTTACCCTGACTGGTGCCCTGGTGCGCCGAGCCACGGACCCTCTGTCTTCCACCACGCCCAAGCTTGCCCTTCATAGCACCACGGCCTTGATTTAAAAAAATATTATTTTAAGAAGGAGAGAAACAAGAAAACTTCTACAACTTGATAACCAAATGAATTATCCAAATGAATCACATTTATACCCAAAAAATTAATCCCCAAGTAAGTAAACGTGTGAGGGCATATAGTTAGCCATTATGATAATCAGGTCTAAAATAAAGCTTTAAGAAGCCCAGAGGTGTAGAAGTCTCTGTAAACAACAGCTATTTATATATAATACTACTGTTATTGATTATGAGAGCTGTTTAAGGCTGGAAAGGTAAAAGTATACTTTTAAAGCTGTTAATTATGATTATTACAGATAATATGGAATCAACTGAGCTGGATATTAGCAGGTAATTGTAAAAAAATAATAAATGATTTTATATGCTCATATTAGTGCATTCCTATTGGTCACATATTTTAGTTACATAAATCCATTCTGTGTCTACATATAAATATCAGGCGGATCTGTTCAGAACTGACTAGTGAGGCCATCCCAGCTTAAGTTTCTAAAAGTAGTAAATTACAATTTTTATTCTGATATCAATACATTTAAACAAAAAGTCATCATAAATGCAAGGTGTTTCTCGTACATAAACAGAACTTTGGACACTGAAATTTAGTTTAAACTTTCAGACACATTTCTTCCTAAATAGGAGAGGCTTTCTTCTTTGATTGCAGTAGACCGATATAAAAGATGTCTGGTACACTAGTAGTAGCATAAGCAGCCATGTTTAGCTTTTAAAAAAATATGAAAATGTACCTGGAGCAGGACCATTAGTTTGACCCAGATAGCTAGGTGGAGGCATTGGAGGCATCACCAGGTTGAAGGGTATGGGGATATTCATCGCAGCCATTTGGCCCGGTCCGGTTCCAATCATCCCAATCTGATCGTGTGTTTGAAAGTACATGTTGGATGGACGTCCAGCTAGAAGACAATTCAAAAAAATTAGTTGAGGCAAAACTTAGAAGACTGTAGCACCTGCTTTTATATATATATATATATATATATATCTCTAGTAATAAATACCAGCA